TTTTTTTTTTTTTTTTTTTGGTAATTTGAAGTGTATATTGTTTGTCTGGGATAACTTATATTTATTACTCACATCGGTATCTTGTAAATTTAATGCAGGTCCCAACGTATGCTTTAGAAGGCTAGTAACTTTGATGATAGGAAAAGGTGATAGGTATATTTCATTTGGCAACAATTCTTGTCTCCTAAAATTTGTTTTGTGGTATGTTGAGATATGGACACTTTCTTCTTTCCTGTAAGTCCTATATCTTTTGTGATTGGAAATATTCAATAGGCTTTTTAGAGTACTGTCAGATGGTGCTTTTTCCGTGTTTTTTCGTTCTGTCATTGGGCCGGGTGGGGTGGGGGGGTGGGGGTGCGTTAAAACAAGTAGTGCATGAAGATGAGTCTCTATTGATGATGAAAGTCGGATAAAATGGCATAGAGACCATGAACTTGGAGAAAACCAGTTCAAGTATAATGCTGTCCCGGCGTACTGACAATGTAATTTTAATTTGTAATTGTTTTCACTGTGAATAGTAATCTTGTTGTAAAATTAAAATATCTTGAAGAACTTATTCCTCGCTGAGGATACAAGGAACATAATTTGTCCCCAGCAAGGGCTATTTAAGGACTGAACTAGATTTTCCTAGTGGAACATTTGTTAAATGACGTGTATATTAGCAACTTCAGCATGAGATAAAAGACAGCTCCTTGGTTAGCTTCATGAAGCTGTGGCAAATGGGTGAAAGGGAAATAGGCCTCGTGTCTTATCAGGCTCTTTATCCGTCTGTCTTTGTTTTGATTTTTCTTTGGGATAATGACACTCCGTATTTCATATGCTTTGTGTTCTCTTTGGTATAACATCTTCAGTTTTGGTGAAGATTGTGAGCTGGATTGCCTGTGAATATCAAGCAAACAAGCAAGTATAGTTTTCCCAGAGTATCACTAGTAGGTCATACTAATGCTTTGAATCACTTCAGTGTTGGATTTTAATGATCATCTCTGCCAAATTTTAAAGCGCTCAATAGCTCTTACTTTGTGTGTGGTTAAAGTGCATAGATAGGAGTCATCACTTCACGTGGCTAGGTTAATTGAAATGCCACAAAGATGCATCTCGATTGTGCATTTATTACACTTTATTCCATGCTGTTACTGTATTCGTTCAAATTGCATCATCAAGATAGTGTCTTGCTCCTCAGTGCCTTTTTTTTTCCTTCCAATTTTGAAGTACTTGAGAGTTTCCATTAGTACTTTAAAAGATTTTGCTGACGAGTATTCACTATCCAGGGTCTCATAACAAGATACTAGTCCGGGATATGGTTAGCGGCTGCAACATCGAGTGCTTTTTCTGGTGAAGATGAAACTTCACGTTTTAATGCAATACGCTGAATATGAGAGGTTATTCTTGAGCTTGTCTGACCTACCCGTCACAGATTAAACTTACGGCACTGTGAGGGACCGAAGGGTTCACAGAATGTCTCGCTTCAACAACTACCTGTGTGGCTGCTGGAGCGCCCTGGGGTTCTCTGTCTAAATACTAACCTGACGGAAGGAAGTGCTGGTGGGGAATCGAGGGACCGTTTCTGCAATTTCCCTGAAGATGACTTCAGATGTACTATAGGAGTTGGATTTGAGATGAATTGAATTTCTTACAAATTAAGGAGAAAAAAGGGAAAAGAAGAAAGGTCGTGAGTACATACATCTTTGAGTGTTTTTAAGGGTCCTCTATTTTACTCTTGAAGTACAGGGGTAATTAGTACAAGTTTTTCCCGTTATACATTGTCTGGGTGTTTAAACGAACGCTTTCTAATATGGTTAATTTCAGTTGCCTTTAAACTGATATTTTGGGTGTTTGAACTGCCGTTTCCAACTATGGTTTTTGCTGCCCGTTGCATGAGTTTAAGCATTGAATGCAAATGCTGTTAATGGTTCCCTATCTTTGTAGACTGGAATTTTTCTTGATACATATTTCTTTTCTTTTCTTTTTTTTTTTTTTTTTTAAAATTGGATGAACGGCTGAAATATATTTGGATTTAAAGTGGACATTACTTATAAATATACTAGTCTCTATGTACGTGGTTTGCATGTATATTTCTCGCTACAATTAAGATAAGTTCAAAAGTAATTTCTTCCTATAACTTCATATAAAGATGTTTTTCGCCTTATTATGTCAAAAAGGTGTCACTTTACCTATCCGATTATTAAGTCATTATCTTATGACAAGGATGAAGGAGTCTATGGTGAAGGATTATTTATTGCTAAGTATTTAAGCATTCTTCCTAATAATACTATAATAGTTGGTAGTATCATCTTTAGCAAAGTCAAAATTAAGATACATTTTGCTTTCATTAGAGAACTTGATAGTCAATATCTCATTTAATAAATAGATATAGATATGTATGTATTTATTTATAAGTTCTCCCAGAAATACTAGGAGTTGGAAATAGAAACCTAGAAAGTAATGGATTGGGAAACTGATATATAAACCGTCTTTGCATTAAAACTTTTGTGCTATCATAAGAAGTTTCTCCGTTAGCAGCGAGGTTAATCGACCCTATCAAGAGCAAAATTCATGGGGAAAAGGAAGCTGTATTCACAAGGTAAATCACAATGACATATACATGATGATTTGCCTGAATTTGGTTGACGGATTCTAATTGGCCTAAAAATTAGTGTATTCATCATATGCGGAGGAATATTAATCATGACATACATCGTTTTTTGAAATTTTGGGGTCATAAGAATACATTACACGCAGTGGCGGAGGCAGTATTTTCGCTGAGGGGTAAAAAAAATTAAAAAAATTTAAAAAATTGTGGCTAGTGGAATTGAACTAGCAACCTAATAAAGATTTTGAACCCCTTTGACCACTGAGCTATGCTTTTGGGCAATATCAAGGGGATTCAAAATATAATATGTAGAGGTACAAACCGAATTTTGCCTTATATGTACAGTGTAATTTTTCGGCAAAAGGGTTTCGTGTGAAACCCCTTCCTCCCCCTAAATCCGCCCCTATCCGCACGACCACATGGAACCTACGCGTGCTATGCACGACCACTTGGATCCTAGCGATGCTAAAAAAGTTGACGGACTACGATTGACCTCAAATTTGGTGGGTCCATCGAAAATTGCCTGGTGACTAATACTCATTGCTTCGTCGTGACTAATATCGTTTTATGGCCTTAAAACGCCAAAAAACGAGGAACATAAAACGCCAAAACACCAAAAAAGTAATAGTCATCGCTTCGCCAGGATCGTTCCTCATTTTTTTTGGCATTTTAGTACCATAAAAGAGGAATTCAAGACGATTCCCAAATTTTCATGTGCTATAGTCCACGCCATTTGCATGAATTCGGGCGACCGGCTCCGCATTTTCTAAATTTTTTGGGCCCAAAACAATGACCTAATGAACAATAGTCATCGCTTTTCCATGACCGTTCCTCATTTTATGGCGTTTTAGGTCCATAAAGTAGGAATTCAGGATGATTCCCACGCCATCTGCTTGAATTCGGGCAATGGGACCCGAATTTCCTAAAATTTTGCGAGCCCATAAATAACGACCTAATGAATAATAGTCAATGCTTCGCCATGACCATTCCTCATTTTTTTTACGTTTTAGGGCAATAAAACAGGAATTCAGGACGATTCCCAGATTTTCGTGTGCTATAGTCCAAGAAATCTGGATGAATTCGGGCGACCGACCCCGAATCTTTTAAAATTTTATGGGCCAATAAAAAATAACCTAATGCACAATAGTATTCGTTTCGCCATAACCGTTCCACGTTTTTTGGCATTTTAGGGCCATAAAACATGAATTCAAGTTAATTCTCATATTTTCGTGTGCTATAGTCCACGCCATTTGTATGAATTCGGGCGACCGACCCTGAATCTCCTAAAATTTTGCGGGATCATCTAAAATGACCTAATGAACAATAGTCATCACTTCACCATGATCGTTCCTTATTCTTTGGCGTTTTAGTGCCATAAAATAGGAATTCAGAACGATTCCCAAATTTTCGTGTGTTATAGAACAAGCCATCTGCATGAATTCAGGCAACCAACTCCGAATCTATTAAAATTTAGCGTGCCCAAAAATCAACCTAATGAATAATAGTCATCGATTCTCCATGATTGTTCCTCATTTTTTAGCGTTTTAGGGTCATAAAACAGGAATTCAAGACGATTCCCGGATTTTCATGTGCTATAGTCCACGCCATCTATATGAATCCAGGCGACCGACACCGAATCATATAAAATTTTACGGACCCTTAAAAATGACCTAATGAACAATAGTTATTGCTTCGCCATGATCGTTCCAAGTTTTTTGGCGTTTTAGGGCCATAATACAGGAATTTAGGATAATTCCTAGATTTTCTTGTGCGACAGTCCACACCGTCTGCATGAATTCGAGCGACCGGTCCCGCATATCGTAAAATTTTGCGGGGCCATAAAAATGACCAAATGGACAATAATCATGGTTTCGGCATGACCGTTGCTTATATTTTGGCATATAAGGACAAAAAGAACCTTGAATTTAAGACGATTTTTAAATTTTCGTGTGCTATAATCCCTGCCATTTGCATGAATCCAAACTACCGGATCCGAATCCCCAAATAGTTTGCAGAGCCTTAAAAAATAACCTAATGAACAATAGTCATGGCTTCGGCATTACCGTTCTTCATTTTATGGCCTTTTGAACCAAAAAACTGAAATTCAGGCTAATTTCTAAATTTTTGTTTGCTATATAGTCCACACCATCTGTATGAATCTGGTCTACCGGATCCGAATCACCTAAAATTTTGTAGTGCCTTAAAAAATGACCTAATGAACAATAGTCATCGCTTCGGCATGACCGTTCCTCAGTTTTGGCATTTTAGGGCGAAAATATTGGAATTCAAGCTAATTTCCAAATTTTCGTGTGCTATGATCCACCTCATCTGCATGAATCTAGGCTACTCGATTCGAATCGCCTAAAATTTTATGGGGCCATAAATGATGACATAATGAACAATAGTCATGGCTTCGGCATGACTGTTCCTCGCTTTTGGCATTTTAGGGCTATTAAACAGGAATTCACGTCGATTCCCAGATTTTCGTGTGCTATAATCCATGACATCTGCATGAATTCAGGCGACCGGCCCCGAATCTCTTAAAAATTTTCGGGCCCAAAAAAAATCTAATGTACAATAGTCATCGCTTCTCCATCACCGTTCTTTATTTTTGGCGTTTTAAGGCCATAAAATAGGAATTCAAGATGATTCCTAGGTTTTCGGGTGCTATAGTCAATGCCAACTACATGCATTCGGGTGACCGACATCGAATCTTGCAGGCCCATATAACCGACCTAATGAACAACAGTTATCGCTTCACCATGACCGTTCCGAGTTTTTTTGGTGTTTTAGGGCCACAAAATAAAAATTCATGACGATCCCAAATTTTCTTCTGCTATAATCCACGTCATCTGCATGAATTCGGGCGACCGGTCCCGAATATTCTAAACTTTTACAGGCCCATATAAAATAACCTTATGAACAATAGTCATTGCTTTACTATTACCGTTCGCATTTTAGGGCCAAAAAATTAGAATTCAGACCGATTTCCAAATTTTCATATGCTATAGTTCACGTCATCTGTATGAATCCGGGCTACAGGATCCGAATTGCCTAAAATTTTACGGGGACATAAAAAATGACCTAATGAACAATAATCATGGCTTCGGCATGACCGTTCCCCTTTTGGTATTTTAGGGCAAAAAATAGAATTCAGGCCGATTTCTAAATTGTCATATGCATAGTCCATGCCATCTGCGTGAATCCTAGCTATCGGATACGAATCGCCTAAAATTTTATGAGACCATAAAAAATGATCTCATAAACAATAGTCATGGCTTCGGCATGACCGTTCCTCATTTTTGGTATTTAGGGCCAAAAATTGGAATTCAGGCTGTTTTCTAAATTTTTATGTCCTATAGTCCACGCCATCTGCATGAATTCGGACTACCGGACGAATCACTTAAAATTATACAAGGCCATAAAAATGACCTAATTAACAATAGTCATATCTTAGGCATGATCGTTCCTCTTTTTTTGGCATTCTAGGGCCCAAAGATTGGAATTTAGGCCGATTTATAAATTTTTGTATGCTATAATCCATGCCATCTGCATGAATTCGGGCTACCGAATCCGAATCGCCTAAAGTTTTGCGAGGCCACAAAAAATGACCTAATGAACAATAGCCATGGTTTCGGCATGACCGTTCTTCATTTTTTGGTATTTTAGGGCTAAGCAATTAGAATTCAGGCCGATTCTAAATTTCCTTGTGATATAGTCAACTCCATTTGCATGAGTCCATGCTACCAGATCCAAATCACCTAAAATTTTGCGGGACCATAAAAATGACCTTATGAACAATAGTCATGGCTTCGGCATGACCATTCCTCATTTTTGGCATCTCAGGGAGAAAAAATTGAAATATGGGCAGATTTTTAAATTTATGTGTGTTATAGTCCACGTCATTGGGCATGAATTCAGGGTACCGGATTTGAATCGCCTAAATTTTTACGGGGATATAAAATAAACTAATGAACAATAGTCATGGCTTCGGCATGACCGTTCCTTGTATTTTTTATATTTTAGGGTCAAAAAACTGAATTCGAGCCAATTTCTAAATTTTCATGTGCAATAATCCACATCATCTGCATGAATTCGGGCTACCGGATCCGATTTGCCTAAAATTTTGCCGGTCCACCAAAAATTACCTAATAAAAAATAGTCATGGCTTCGGCATGCCCGTTCCTGATTTTTTGGCATTTTAGAGCCAAAAAACTGGAATGTAGGTCGATTCCCAAATTTTCGTAT